TCCCCACGGTTTAGGGTTTAGGGTTTAGGGTTTAGGGTTTAGGGTGTCTTTGTCTGGGAGTTTGTGCTGCCTTGGTTTTCAGGGTTGTGACTTCCTTTCGTGGGGCTTGTATGTGATGTTGAATGTTGAAGCGGCATGAAGAAACCCTATACCCTAAGTCCGATGCCATGAACTCCACGCCCATGTCCCTAAACCCTAAACCCGAAACCCTAAACCCTAAACCCTACAACTCCACAACCTAAGGGCCTAAAACGTAGAGCCCTCGCAGGATTGAGTTCTTCTTAGAGGTCGCCGCAGAGCGACAAGGAGCCCTCCAACTCGGCCCGGGGAACCCAGCGCCGGTTCAGGGCTTTTAGGGTTCAGGGTTTAGGGTTTTTAGGGTTTTTAGGGTTTTTAGGGTTTTTTGGGTTTTTTGGGTTTTTTGGGTTTTTAGGGTTTAGGGTTTAGGGTTTTTAGGGCGTTTCCTTTTTTCCTTTAATGTTGGTTTGAGGTTTAGGGTTTAGTAAGGGGTTTTCCCTTGATTGTGGTTCGTGGGTGTAAGGCTTGTGGTTTGGGTGCTTTCGTGGTCTTCAGTTGAGTTTCACTGGAATTGTGGTAGGGTTTCTGCAGGTTTAGGCTTTTAGTTGGGGTCTGTAGGATTCCTTATTGTAGGGCTTTGTGATTTAGGGTTCAGGCTGTAAGGTTGGCTTTAGCCCTGGACTTGAGGGCGTGGGATTCAGGGCATAGGCGGGTTCAGTGAAGGGTTCGTTTCGGGCTGTGTATTTCTGGTCTAGGGGCGTTTGGTGCAGGCTTGGGGACTGGGGCGGTTCTGCTCGGAGTGATGGGTTTGGGTTTGGGTTTGGGGTTTGGGGTTGAGTCTAGAGTTTAGGGTTTGGGGCTTAGGTTTTCTGAGTTTGTGGCCTTGGGCTTCGAGTGATTGGGGTTCACGAACGGATGCTTCCTGCAGCTGTAGGTTGGGGCCTGGGCAGCACAGGTGCAAGGTCTGCTAATGCGGCTACAACAACATCCACAACAACTGCTAGTGCTCCTGCTGCTGCCACGGCTCCTGCTCTCGCTACACTACAACTGCTGCTACTACGTGCTGCTACTACTACTACTACTACTTCTACTACTACTACTACTACTACTACTACTACTGCTACTTGTACTACGACTTGTACTACGACTACGACTACGACTACGACTACGACTACGACTACGAGGGCGACTGCGACTGCGACTGCGACTGCGCTTGCGACTACGACTACGACTACGACTACGACTACGATTACGACTACGACTGCGACTACTACTCCCCTCCTACCCCTACTCCTAATTGCTGCACAAAGGCACCTGTCTCATCGTAATATAATAATGGAATATTCCCGTCTTGTTGGAGTTTCCTTTTCGTTCGCGAACTAGGACCAGCACGGTGGCGGGGACACTGAATATAAATTTGGCATTTGCTCCAAGCAAGTCTGTAAGGGTTCTATAAGAAGGGTCAATTCTAAATTTCAACACCCAACACCCCAAAGGCCTGCCTAGCCCTCAACCCTAAGCCCCAAAGCCTACTGCCTGCATGACAAGAAGCCAGACAGCGCAAACAGGAGCAAAGGTCCGCTTGGCCACGGTGCCCACCGCGCTGCTGCCTGTCGGAACTCACAGTAAATGTACGGGCCTGAATACAAAAGACGGAGTTCTTTATGAGGTGCATGCCGGTTCTGAGTTCTTGCAATCAGGAACAAAGGTTCTGGGGTATCGTCGCATATCATATTGGTACCAGAAGGCGGCAGAGGACTACTGAGTCCCTCAGATCTCTTTATGCTGCAGGCGTCTCGGATGCAAAACTACTGCAGCAGCCCAGGCTTTCGGCGGAACTATGCCAGCGACTTTAGCTATGGCCCCCAGCATGGATCCCTAACTCGACTGTGGCTCTTTCGGGGCAGAGCGTCAATGTTCGCTCAGCCGGCCTGCCTTTTGGTGAGCGAAGCATGTCACCAGGGCCAACGTGGCATGATCATGCATGGATGCTACCGCCTGTGCTTCCTACACCTAGGCCTATGATGGAGTTCTGCTTATCCGGACGTGTGGTTGGTGGTACTGGCATGTGCGCATGAACTGCAGACACATACAGGTCGAAGACGACATTTGGGCACACTTCCCACTGGTCCTGGTTTGGGATCCTGGTGGGACCTTCTTTACCAATACGTGGTACGTGGCCGTGCCTGGTTTTCCATTCTCTGCTTGTGTGACGAAGTCTCATCACCAGTGCTCTGGGCAGATTGAAGTCGTCTTTAGAGTCATCGGTGCAGTGTGCCGCCCACCCTTTGTTGTCGCCGGGTGGGTGGGGCGGGTGTGTGCGTGCAATTAAGCATTGGGCTGCCAAAAGGTATCAGATATTGAGTAGCGTGAGGCTATGTAGATGCGCATGGGTCGTGATCGTTTTCTGATCGGAAAGCCCCGTAGTGCTGTCAAGGGCGGCTACTCGGCACACACCGATGGCTTTCGCGAGTTTACTTCACACTCCACGCGGCATTGGCCGTCGGCCCCAACCGAGCTGGGTTTCCATAGATGTTTCCATTGTTGGGTTTTGTTTCGGTTTCGGGCTTTCCTTGGGTTAGCTTGCGGTTTGCTGTTGCTTTTGCGCGGTTCTTGTTTCGGTGCCGGGGTCTCCGTTCGGCGTCGGGTCGGATTTTTGTTCGGCTGTTGCTTCGGCAACACCTTGCATGCTTGGCAGCCGTGCATAGCCGAGCCACATCCTTTCTCCCAAGGTCCTACGATCCCTTAAGCGCCTGAGTGGGACTTAGGGATTGTTTGTGGCAGTTCTGCACGACACCTCTAACCCGCTGATGGTTGGGAGTTCCAGGCCGTCGGACCGTACAGTGATATAGAACCCTCATAAATGGGATCCATATAACATAAGGGCCATAAGGGCCCCTAGATTCCTAAATAATGTCCTGAAGCCTGCCCGCGGGTTTGGGTCTCGCAAAACTTGCACCAAGCCGGCCCGGGAGCCTGCATCCAACACATACCTTACATTCAAGAACGGCTCGTACAAGAAGAAACCTTTGGCCTTTCCTACGGTGTTGGGTGCAAGATTAGGCTTGGGGTTAGTTGTTTAGGGTTTGGGGCTCGAGATATTGGGCCAATGGTTATAGTCTAGTCACAGTAGAGTATCATCGTGCGGGGACAAAACTTACGGAACAGCTACCTCCTCAGATGTCCATATACTACAGATGATACCCCTCAGGGGTCATGATTTAGGATCCCCCTTTCTCTACATCTCTGTAGCTATGCCGAATAGTTAGTATATATATATATATAGAACTTTAACCCTACATTCTACTATATATATATATATACATATATATACATATATATATATATAGATAGGTACTTAGATTTTGAGACCCCAAACCATTTTCTGAAGCCGGCGGGTTGAGGACTCACAAAACTTGCGCCAAGCCGAGGTTTGTGGCCTGGTCTCCGCGAGTCCAACGGTTACTGTCTCATCGAGCATTTCTCTAAGCGAGAAACTTCTGGGTTCATGGCCTAGGGCTCAGGTAGGTTAGGGTTTAGGGTTTAGGGTTTAGGGTTTACGGTTTAGAGCTCAGTTAGGTTTCGGGCACTTGGGTTTCGGGTTTAGGGCTTAGGCGTGTTGGGTTTAATTAGGTTTCGGGTAGTAGGGTTTAGGGTTTAAGGTTTAGGACTAGAGCATGCAACTAGCCAAGACAGTACAAGAAAACTGAATCAAGCTGGGAATTGCATCGAAACCTACCGCCCTAAACCCGCCCACAACCGCCGACAAGCTGTCAAAAAAAGGATCGCCCGGCCTGCTTCCACACACTTGATTAAGTCGTTTGGCAAGGCTTTCCTGGCTGGCTCTTCGAGTTTAGGGTGTAAGGTTTAGGGTCTGAAGGTTAGGGTTTAGGGGTTTAGGGTTATAGGGTTTAGGGTGTAGGATTTAGGGTCTGGGGTGTAGAGTTTAGGGTTTAGGGTTCTACTAAACTCGAAGCCCTGAACCCTTAGTTTTATGTGAACCCTAAACACCAAGCCGATCTATAGATATATATATATATATATACATGCTCACCCCCCCCCCCCCGTTGACAGACCGCGGCGCGCATACAGTGTGTTCCTGGCAAGTGAGCCTGCTGATTAAAACCTGTTCGTGATTGCCGCCGTTGGCTTTTAACATTGGTTTTAGTACTTTCCTTTGGTATTGAGACTGGCGTTAATTTTTATAGTAGCA